GTTGCTGGCCTGTATTTCTGTTAGCAAGTTCTGACTAAGAGTGACATGATCAGAGTTGTGTTTTGCAGAGATTGCATTCCCACTGCAGTGTAGGCAGGACATCAGGCAGAGAGAGACAAGAACTGGCTATCGGACTACTAGCTAGCAAAGTAGGGAGTTGTCCAGGTGAGATGAATGTGGTGGCAGAAGGAGAAGTGGGTAGAGTTAGTCATAATAACACAATAGAATCAGGAGGACTTGGTGTTTGAATAGATCAGGGTCCAAGTGTGAGTTTGTGTGTGTGTGTGTATGTGCGTGCACACATGCATGCGCGCGCGCACACAGCGGGAGGGTGGGATGACAGGGATATTTGCAGCATCTGGAAAAAACAATGCAGTGGGTAATGGTGCCATCAGTTGGGTTATGTTAACACTGAAGGAGTGGGTTTAGGGGATAAAGTGGGAGTCTGACTTTAGAATTAAATTTAAGTACTTGTGAGATACTTGAGGGGAGGAGGCAGCTCAGATGTATGGGTCTTGGTCTCAGTGGCAAGATTTGGACGAAAGATACAAACTTCAGAGTCGTTGGTTAAATGAGGAGGCAAGGGGGCGCCTGGGTGGCTCAGTGGGTTAAGCCTCTGCCTTCGGCTCAGGTCGTGATCCCGGGGTGCTGGGATCGAGCCCCGCATCTGGCTCTCTGCTCAGCGGGGAGCCTGCTTCCTCCTCTCTCTCTGCCTGCCTCTCTGCCTACTTGTGATCTCTCTCTCTCTCTGTCCAATAAATAAATAAAATCTTTAAAAAAAAAAAATGAGGAGGCAAGATCACCTGGGGGAAGAACAGAGCAGTCTATCTGGTGTCTTCATCAGATGCACTTTCTTCGTCAGAATTAACTGAGGTGTCTTTGGGCTGGTTCTCAGGGATTGGCAAGCCCCTTGGTAATGCTGACATGTGCCAAAGTTGGAGAAGCACCGATCCAGCATGTTGAAATGGTGAACATCTAAGCCTGAGCCATGGGAGAAGAGGGATCTGAGGTGTTTTCCTTTATGTAAAGAATGAAAGAAATAAGAACAGAGACGGAGAAACCAGAGGTAGGGAAAGGAAACTGAGGATGTGCAGTCCCTCCAGTTTTATCCCACTAAGGAAGAGGTAAGGGCTGCTACAGTTTGCTAGAAAGTAGGAGATGAGATTTAGGATCAAGGAGAATGGAAAACATTTAAAAATTGAGGGCATCATTAGTCAGCTAGAGATCAGCTTAAGTCGTGCCAGGTAACAGCAAAGGCCCACTTTGGAATGTAGTAGCACATGTTTCTCAAGATTTTGTAAATTTATTTCATAGGACTGAGAATTCAGGGAGTGAGCCACCAGTAGAATTAAGGTAGTCTGGTAGAAATCAAAGGGACCAGGAATATATTAGAGTTATTATTGGTACTGAAGTATCATTAAAAGACACATTTCAGCGTAGGGTACAGGCAAGTGAAAATAAGACTGGAGGAGTGGAGGTTATAATGATGAAGACCAGTGTAGGTTAGAGGACTGGAGATATTGGAGAGAAATATGGAGCAGTCCCACAGTCTTGAGTTCTTAGAGGTGAGTCTGAGAGACGAGGGAGTCAAGCTAGTGCATGTGCTGGGCTGTGGTAGCATGGAGGTTAAGTTCATTAGGAGCTTGTATGTTAATCACGATGGCAAGGGAATGATAAGAAATGCTTGTGTACCTGGTGTTGACATCATTAAGAAACTAGGATTGTTTCTTAAGGGTCCGTGAATAATAGGTGACAGAGACGGGAAGAAGTTCACAAGCTGACACTAGGAGAAATAAATTTATTTTATTTATTATTTTTTTTTAATTAAAGATTTTTATTTATTTATTTGACAGAGATCACAAGTAGGCAGAGAGGCAGGCAGAGAGAGAGGGGGAAGCAGGCTCCCTGCTGAGCAGAGAGCCCGACGCGGGGCTCGATCCCAGGACCCTGAGGTCATGATCTGAGCCAAAGACAGAGGCTTAACCCACTGAGCCACCCAGGCGCCCCTAGGAGAAATAAATTTAATCCAGAAACACAAATGATAGGTGAACTCCAAAGCCTTGAACATTTTAAAAACAAAGACAGTAATTTGAGCCATTACAGTTAACCCTTATATTGTGCCTACTAAGCACCCAGCCTAATGGCTAAGCACGTTACTTATGTTAACTCATTCGATCCTTACAATGACCCCATAAGGTAGGGATAAACCTATTTTACAGATGCACAGAGGTCTAGAAGTTTGCCCAGTGTTACACAGGTGGTCAGTGATGGGACCAGTCTTTGAACCCAAGCAGTTTGCTACTGGAGTCGGGGTCCTGAACCAGCCCCCTATACGGTCTCATAAACTAAACTTGGATATTTTAGAAGTTACTTTTCTGGGTGCCAATCTCTTGGAAGTAATTCTTTTAAGAAAAAAATTAAAAATTAAAAACAACATTAATTTGTTCTCATATTACTTAAAGTAATGCACATTCACACTCTAAAATTTTGAAAATACATAAAAGGACAAAGTACATAAGAAAAATAGTTGCTGTAGTCATAGTTTTTATAGCTGGCCTTGTAGGGTGTGCTGTTGCAGGAGCACAATGACACCTTCCTCTCTGGGAGAAGGGGCTGTGCCCAAGCTCCCCCTGCAGCTCAGCCTCTGAAGCATCAGCACATCAGGTCCTCGGGGGGCCCTTACTTCTCCCACCTGCCTACTGCTTGGGTAGAGCGTTCATTACTAGATCTTGGGAGTCTTCTTATTGCCCTTAACCCAACCTTGTGGGACCCTTATTTGCTGTTCTCTAGAAAACATGTTAGCCACCTACCCTTGTTACCCAAAGCTGCCGGAATTGTAGAGGGTCTGAGATTTTACTATACTTGCTGACAATTAGTCTGGGTTCCTGCATGGTTGCTGTAGACACGAGACTCCTGATCAGAGACAAAGGACTTCATGACTCAAACAGGTAAGCCATGAGCTTCCTGTTCCCCAGGACAAGCCCTCCTCCCACCAGCCTCATGGGGACATGCGGCTCCGGTGACGCCACTCCTGCTGTGGGCTCAGGTCTTAGCTGAGCAATCTCAGACCTAGGGAAACCCACACATGGGTTTCAAGCAGACTTGCCTGCCCTTTGCTCTGTGGGAAACAGACCTACTTCTGCTTCGGAGAGATACCGTCTCTGTTTTCCAAGAGTGTTTGCTATCCAGACATCCTTAAAAGATAGTCCAGAGGCTCCTGGGTGGCTCAGTTGTTTAAGCATCTAGCTTGATTTCTGCTCAGGCCATGATCTCAGGGTCATGTATCCGAGCACCTATTCTTCTTATCCATGATAAGCTCTTCACATAATATTTGATGTGTAATAAGATTCTTGCTTACAAAAAAGGACTATTGCTCAGAAAGAGGGAAGGAAGGTAAAAGAAATTACTATTGAAAGGTGGCTACCTGGGCCACCTGGCTGGCTAACTTGATAGAGCAGGTGACTCTTCATCTCAAGAGTTGTGAGTTCAAGCCCCACACTAGGTGTGGCACCTACTTTAAGAAAAGAAAAAGAAAGGTGGCGGTCATGTTTTGGTATCCTAAGTGGCTTGAAGGTTGTGAAGTGCAGGTTGGAGAGTTCTTTGGGAGAGTCAATGGGTTTTTCCGGAGCACATTTGGGGACTTCATGTTTCATCTCACTTGAGTCCTAACTACAGTTAGATCTGATGTGTTAAATAAAATACAAGCATCACTCACTCCAGTTTGCTGGCCTCCCTTCCTGTGAACACTTAAGGTGTGCTGACTCCACATTTGAGGACATCTTTGGACCTGCCCTGGGGCAGCTCGGTGGTAAGCCTGGCCTGAGAGCGGCCCCTCCAGCACCCGGTCATGCTGGGGGCTGGGCTGCTCCGCCAGGGTGCGGTCGGGCCTTCTCCTCTGCATCTGACTGCGCACTGCGATTGACGTGCAGCCTCTCCAGTTAGCAAATGATATAGGGCGAAATTGAAGTAAGTGTGTTAGATCTTTATCACACAACTTCAACTATTTTTAATGTGGAAGGAAATATTACATGAGATGTTTATTGAGAGACATAGATTTATTTCTAATTTTGTTTGTTGTATTAGATGTACATTAGTGAATTAGGGTATAAAACATCAATATGAGTCTTTGAATTTAGGTACGGATTCAGTCATTTAGTGACTTTTCAGGAATATAAGAAAGTTGTTTTTTATTCATTTGTTTGCCTTGTCCAATAGTTTCAATGTTTCAAGCTTAGAAGCCTTGGTTTGGCCCTGAGATCAGAATTTGTTTTATGTCTAAAACAAAACTGTGCATAAAGATGGTTTATTATATTCCGGGCACATGAAGTAATGACGGTTTTATCTGATGTGAAGAAAGAAGTGGCACATAATTGGTAGCCGAGTGCTGCACCTGGCCTTGGTTTCTGCTGCCGGCTTTGGCTGGGGAGTCCTGGGCTGCAGAGCAGGGGATGCTGGCCTCTGCGGCAGTGGGGGAAGGGGATGCTGGCAGCTGTGGGGGTGAAGGGGAGGGGGTGCTGACAGCTGTGGGAGTGGAGGGGAGGGGGCACTGGTCCTTGTAGGGGTGGAGGTTAGGGGAGTGCTGGCAGCTGTGCTGGGGGCCGTGGGAGTGGTGCTCGTGGCTGGCGCCCTGGGACCTGGGGCTGTGTGCGCTCATGGGGTCCAGCGCTCCGACGGCTGCTTGGCCGCCAACCTTAATCATTCTTGATGCCCTCACTTAGAACTGCAGACAAAAATTCATCAACCTGCATTTTAAAATATGGTTCTAAAAAATGTTTTCACGAACTCTTTTTTTTGGTTCTTTAAAGCTTGATGGTATTCTACATAATTTGGTAAAGCAAAGTCACTCTAAACCTGACACTGTAAAGCTGGAATTTTTTAATCTTGCTAATAAATACAAATTTCCTCCCTTTCCAAAGAATCTTTGTACTTTCATATAGATAGAAACCTAATTAATCATGAGATGAAATAAAATACAGTCAGATTTCCATTATGTTTTTCAGGGCATCCGAGCCCGCATTTTAGAAACTCTGGTCATGCTCGTCCTTCTTGCGCTCCTTATCCTCGGGATAGTGTGGGTAGCCTCAGCGCTCGTTGACAAGGACGCGGCGAGCATGGAGTCTTTGTATGGTAAGCCGGCTTCTCTCTGGGACCTGAACCGGGCGTGGAATTACACACTCGCTTTCCTGAGTGTTTTAATAATTCTTTGTGTTGTTAGCCCTTGTTGCTAATTTACAGAGTTAACAAGTCTTTAGACATGTTTAGGAAAAGAAATGAGTGTTCGTGTGTTTGCTGTATTGAGAATGAGCAAGCAGCTTTTACGATTTTTTGTTTGTTTCTCAGTTGGATTTTGTTCTTAAAATTCCATGGAGACTTTTTTTCTCCTCCAGACAGGTTTTGCAAAAGGGTTATTTCCTTTTCTTCTATTTTAGATCTATTTATTGTATAATTTAGAAATTATATGGCTTAGACTCAAATAGACAATTATGATGTTTATCAAACAATTTATAGTCAACCTGTATCTCAATGTACAATATTTTGGATTTACTAAAACACATGTGCGTTTCTTTGCAGATCTCTGGGAGTTCTACCTACCCTATTTATATTCCTGTATATCTCTGATGGGATGTTTGTTACTTCTCTGTAAGTATTTTTCTGGCTTATTGTTGACAGGAGAATGGAGTTCTTTATTTTCGAAAATTATAGTAAGGTTTCCTAAAGAAATGTTTTTAAAGTTGGCCCTTCACTTTTTTAATGTTAAGATAAATTTTGATAAGCTGAAGCCATGAAATAAAACACACGTGCTGTTCTTTAAGGAAAGTCTCTCTTGTAGAGAGACGCACACACAAGCGCACACTCACTGAAAGCATTAGACTCTATTTTTGAATAGTAACGTATAATTCTGTGTGGTGAGTTTGTGGTCTGTTTCACATGTGTCCAGTTTTACTCGAGTCATCATAGCGTGTCTCAGGAATACTGTAAGCAAATAAATGTAGGTGTAAGGAGTGAAGATAATAGTTTGGTTCTCAACTCCCATCAGCACTTGAAATTTAATCTGCTCTTTAGTTGGTTTTCTTGAATTTCTTTTAAGTGAAAAGACTTACTCAACTGCTAGAGTCTTTCACATACTAAGCCTTCTTCAACCTTCAGGTGTCTTTCCTCCTCTACCTGTCACCCCCCGTAGCTTTTTTATTGAGAAAGTGTCCCTTGACAAAACACTGAGAGAATCTAAGTTTGAGGCAAGAGTTTTCTTAAAACGATAATCTTTGAGTCTGTTCTCTGTTTTGCACTAGCAATTTACCTGCCTCTTCTCTGTGATCTTTCCCGCAGTGTGTACCCCCGTTGGCCTTTCCCGCATGTTCACAGTGATGGGTCAGTTGCTGGTGAAGCCAACAGTAAGTCTGTCGTCTTGTTTGTGAAATAAATGTGTTTACATCTGAGCATCTTTTAGGTTGTGAATTAGCAATCAGAAGCATTAGAATATTTCTCTGGGCTTGGGACCTTGTTATTGTTGCTTTTATTTTAATCTTCTTCATCTTTGGAAACCAAATTTGTTTTTGCTTTTAAGATACTAACTACAGACACTCAGGTGGAAATTCCTCTAGCAAATTTTATGACAAAACTTACAAATACTTATAGATATTTTAGGTGTCTGTTGTATCAGTAGTAACTCTGTTATGTTTCAGAATGTGCCACATATATTCCTTGATTAACAGACCAGTTATGTCTCTGAGGAGTGGGTGCATGTTCGTTTTGATTATACTTTTCAGTTTAATCTCAGAGTTACCATATATTCATTGTTATGTGGTTTTCAGTTGGCAGGAATCATAATGATTTGTTCCTAATTTCTTTGGCCTCTAGCTATTTTGTCAAATTATTTGCTCCCATGAAAATAATTCTTAGCTGCATTTAAGGAACTTGCCATTTATATTATTTTCATGGGTCCTCACTGCCTATAAACTCAGGTCTGAATGACTCACAACCTGTTCTCTATTCCACTGACCTCCAGCCTCTGCTCCCACCCTGTTGTCTGATTCCACACTCTCCAGCTGATGGGCTGTGCTCACAACGGGCTGTGTGCTGTCACTTCCAGGCATGTCTGGGGCTTTCTCCCATCAGGGCACCCTGCCTGCTTTGGCCGCCTGATAGCCTCCTCAAGGCCTGGCTCTGATGTCGGCTGCATTCACTGCCTCTCTTTGAACCTTGCCTCATTTCTTCTTTTAAGTTGAAATAATCAAGCTTCTTTCTCCGCACCGCTCATATTCTCCTCTGTATTTCATCGGTGGCACCTATCAAATTATTTTGGTTATATGTTTGTCTTTCCTGTCAGAGTGATTAATCAAGGAAAAATTTGAGGAAATATTGCAGTAGAGGTGTTCTTTCAGTAATGCATGCTTAATTTTGAGAGATTTAAAAAATAAAGGACAAATAATTTCTTCATATCTTTTTTAAAAATAAAATTGGATTATTTAGCATTGCTACATAAATGTATACATAGTCAAATAAAACATGCTATCAAATCCTAAAATTCACTTTCCTCTGGAAGAGGTTTTATGACACTGCATTCTTAATTTCTTCCTGATTCTCTGGCAGAGCCTTTTTTTTTTTTTTTTTTTTTTTTTGGTCTTTTTCTCTGTTTCTATTTTCTGGCCCCCTAAAGATAGGCATATGTTCTAAGTTCTGTCTTTGGTCTAACGTGGCTCTGCTCCGTTCTGCTGACCACCTCTGCCACTCTCACGACACTTCTATATGTGTAACTCTGGGGAGCAAAAGGCTCTGCAAACAAACCACACCACATGATAAATGCTGTCCCTCAGTACCCACGGAGCTGAGAGCTCAGCTCATAGAAAACCGAACTACTTACTTAGCGCCCTTCCCAAAGCTGATTTTTCTTCTAAAGTTGTCTCTTACTAACATTATTCTCAAAACTTTAGTTATCTTTGTCTCTTTTCTTTTTGCTAACACCCACTATTAATGATATTAAGTCAGTCTAGGCTCTATGTTTGTGATAAGTACTATATTTTACACACATTTCTCATTTAATCCTGCTAATAAACCCGTAAGTTAGGTGGTGGTCTTATTTTATCTGAATTATCTGTAGTTCAGGGAGATTAAGTTGGTTGAACAAGATTTCAGATCAGTCTTGGTGGGGCGGGATTTGAAGCCAGAGCCTGATTTCAGACCCTGGACCACTGTTCTATTCTGTCATAAGCTCCAGAGTACTTGAACCACGTTGTTGCTGAATGTACTTCACATCTCTTCACCTTTGTACTCTGCTTACAGTTTCTGATCCATTTGCCTTTCCCATTTTTAATAAATTAAGCTATCAGATAAGAGGCTACTATCATCAAAAACACTTGGCAAAACTTTTTTCTTCCCACCTAGAAGTTGGGGATCTTTCTTCCTCTGAGCTTTTGTAATGTTTTATTTTTGCTTGAGTTACGACAGGTATTTTAACCCTGTAATTACTTTTTTTGAGTTCATTCTGTCTCTCCTGGACACTAGAATGTAAGCTGTTTGAGGTCAAGGACTGTCTTTGACTCCTGTTTAGGTCCCCATCAGCTCAGATTGGTGAAGAGTGTGGGCTTCAAAAGGCAGATAACTTTTCTTTGCCAAACCCTGTTTCTTGGCATATTATAAGACGGGGAAGACAACAGTCTGATTTTCATTGGATTGTTGTAGAATCAAGGGGATGGGGCGTATAAGCATTTAACACAAATATCTGTGTGCCCCTCATTGTCGCTCACTCGTATGAAGACAGACCCATAGTGTAAGTCACTAATGGACCGTGTGCATTGTAAGAGGAAATCTTTTTGTATGGGCTCGACCTTAAGAAAAGTAAAAACTGGACTGTGGTCCAAACAGTAGAAATGGTGAGAACATTGATTGGAAAGAAACTTGATATCATGACCCACAAAGGTATGGCCCCTGCCTGCCTTAGGCTCGGAGCCTGTCTTGGATTAACTCAGCTCAGTCTGCTGCCTGCACCAGTGCTGTACATCTGCCCAGGCCTTCCCACTTTGGACTGGCGCATCATCTCCTGGGGTTGGCCCTCACTGGTGGCGGCCCTCACTGGCGGCCTGCTGACGTGGGTCACTAGGTCTGTCAGCTTTTGTTCTTGTTTATTTGTGTGTTATTATTTATTCATATTTTATTATTTTATTTTGCTATGAGTGCTAGGCCTATTGATAATAAGGGATTATCCATATTTATTGAAATACTAGGAATTACTAGATTGCTCTAAATAAATTTTATAGAAATTAGGCACCTGATTAGATACCTAGGAGTTGCATGCTTTGAGACTCCTTTTTATGACCTCATCAGGAAGCTGAAAGGCTACACATGTATAGGGTTTCCACCTTTTGCTTTGTCCATCAGCTTCTCATAGTTTATTGTTTTGCTGGGAAGAAGTGGTTTGGGTTTGAATGATATTAAATATGTCAGCTTTGGCCTTCTTTCAGATTTTCCCCAGAGCTAGGAATATATTTAGGATCATTTCAAGAAGGATAGCTGTGTTAACAAAGCTAGAATTAAACATATTTTAGGTTTTATCAGTTGTGAAGATAGTGCAGATAATAGCCTATATAATGGGTGATTGATTAGTGGTTCTTATTTTTTACTAGTGTTGTATGGCAGGGTAGTGAGCGGAGTATACACAAACACAGTATTTCTCTAGGGTTCTAGATACACAATGATTTTGATAATACCAGTAGTCATAATTTGCAGGAAATTTTTAGTGTATACAGACGATATAAGTGGAAGGTATTGCGTGGTGGTTACTGAGTTTATAGGTCTCTTGTGTTAAATATTTTATAGGTAAATATAAATGAGAAACCAGCATTGGACGGAGTGATCTATCCTTCTTGCTCTAAAATGTTGGTTTGGGTGTGAGATTGTATTTAGTCTCTTGGATGTTGAGAATTCATGCATTTGTTTGTCACTGAGAGAGCCGCAGTGTTCTTTAATCCTTTAAATTTAAATATATGTAGATTTTCTAATAGTCAGCTTTTGATGTGTTTAGTTATATGCTAAAATACTTTTCCTTAACTTATAAATAGAATAGTGGGAGTATTTTTATTTTAAATTCCGAATGATTTTGAATCTAAATTCGGTCTAAATCATAGACGGAATAGCCTACCGCTCTCACAAACACTAGTTCTGTAACGTACATTAGTCAATGGTTTGATCTTTGAATTTAGATTCTTGAAGACCTGGATGAACAGATTTATATTATTACCCTAGAGGAGGAAGCACTCCAGAGACGACTAAATGGTATGTATGTATGCTGTGGTTAGAGCTCAATAAAAAATTATTTAATTCAGAAAAAGACAGCTAATTGAGGGGGAAAAATACAGGCCTCTTAGCACATTGTGCTGAGTCACCAGGTCAAGACGTAAGAGTAACATGTGAACGTCTCAGGTGAGGACAGTTTTGCTAAAGACTAGTGGCACTGCGGTCAAGCACCCGTCTTTCCCTATAGCTGTGGTTAGGTGGAATTTAGCAAGGCCTGTTCGGTTCTGAGACACTGACCACGAAGGTGTCCACCTCTAGTGCTGTGTATTTTAAACATGACGACTTAGTTACTGAGGTTTTGCAAATTTGCATGTTTTCTTAGTGACTTTAATGTCTCTATTTCATTTCTTTCCTGTTGAAGTCTTAAGATCAAAAGTAGTCTGTCTCTTCGCTACTGGGTACCAAATTTGACTGTCTCAGTTGCGCTTAGGAGCTCTGTTGTTATTTGGGAATTCTGTTCATTATCAGCTGTGATAACCATGTAAGCATGTCAAAGATCTCAAAGTTTAATTTTTATTTACTCATCCTTTTGGCTTCAAATGAAGAACCAGTGAAAAAAAGAGTAATGACGTAGTTTAACAAAGAAATGATATAGTTTGGGTAAATTTTCTATTTTACTTAAATGCTTTTTACTTTGCACTCTCTTCTCCTGTGTGGTAGTTGTTTTTTTCTTTAATGTTGAAAACCAGTCCCAAGATCAGATTATTAGGAGCTAACTGTATTTCAGGATCATAATTAAAGAGCAGGTATAAAATGGAAGGTTACTTTAATTATGAAATAGAAATAGATCTACTTTCTTTAGTTACAAATAGTGAATTTAAATCATCAACTCAAAAGTGTTGCTAACATTTAGACCTTTATTCTTAGATCAAAGAATTTCAGATTTTATCTATTTTAGAGAATTCTTGGCAATAATATTGTTTCCTTTGGTACCAATAACTGTTAGACCGGAACTACATGTATCTTTTTTTCTACTAATGTTATTAAAGCTATTTTAATATTTAAGCCTATTTTATTTCAGAATTACAGCTTTTCTCAATACTGTCAGCTTTATAAAATTTCATTAAAGTAGTACGTATTATAATAAATTTGCCTTACTCAGGTAATCGTGCTAACATGTGATAAATACGCCTGAATTGTCCCGCCGCTGCCTGCACTGTGCAGTTGTGCTTCAGCCTGAAGCAGGTGGCCTTTCTGTCTGTACAGGTCGGGAGGCTGAGAACTAGGAAGGGTAAAAGATAGTGCCCCTTGGGGGCACTTGGGCAGCTCAGTTGGTTAAGCGTTCAACTTTTGATCTCAGCTCAGGTCTTGATCTCAGGGTTGTGGGTTCGGGCCCCACAGTAGACTCCACGCTGGAGGTGGAACCTATTTAATTAAAAAAAAAAATACAGTGCCTCGTCAGTTAAAGAATTTGAGTTAAAACTAAACCAAAAATACAGCCTTTTCTCACTTTTTACTTCAGGAAAAAGTCCCCCTAGAATCTTTTTTTGATCCTTTGACTTCTCAAATGCAAAAATGGATCATTATAGCTAAAGAAACTGAAAAAGAAGTAGTTGCCAGAAGGCTAAGTATATTACAAATTGAAGCCAAACCCAAGTAAACAGAATACCCTGACTAGCACAGAAATATAATATGGAGAGGACTAAGCATTATATGATAGCTAATGCTAAGTATAATTTTGTTTTCTACCATTTCGGTAAGCTATGCACCATTTCTAAGTGCTCTGTTGGTAGGTTGTTAAATTCTTTCTACTGACACTCTTTAATGATATGTTGGAATAGTTGCTGTAGTGTTATAATTTGCTCCTTGTTAGCACTGTGGACTGTTTCAGGTGGAAAACAACAGGCTTGTAACACAGATGGTTCTATAGTAAAGCGTCCCACTCTTGATCTCAGGTCTTGATCTCAGGGTCCTGAGTTTTAAGCCCTATGTTGGGCTCCACACTGGGCATGGAACCTACTTTAAAAAGTATAGATCATAGAAGGTAAGTAGTGGGAATCATCCCTATGGGTTTTATTAAATCTAGTATTATGTCAAATGTATTTTGTTTTAACAGTTATTTTGCATTTTAAATTTTTCTTAAAAAGTGAATTTAAAATAGTTTTTATTGTGGGCTCTATTTTTCCTTAAAGATTTTATTTATTTACTCGAGATAGACCACGTGTGTACAAGCAGGGGAGGGGAGGGGTAGAGGGAGAGGGAAAAGCAGACTCCCCTCTGAGCAGGGAGTCCAACGTGGGCTCGATCCCAGGACCCTGGGGTCGTGATCTGAGCCGAAGGCAGATGCTTAACCGACTACACGACCCTGACATCCTATATTCTGGGCTATTGAAAAGAAATACAGAATAATAAGAGTAAAAGATTAAAAAATTTTTACAGCAGTGATTTACTCCAGAATTCCTGGTGGTAGTTTGCTAGTGGCCCTTGAGTGTGCTCTTCTTGGTTTGTGTGGGGATGTGTGATGCATATCACAGGAGCCTTTGGCACATTGGCATGGTTTGCTCTGAGCTCAGCTTCACAGTCATCGAAAAAACATAACACTTTTTTTTTTTCTTGGAGATGTATACCTTGTTATGGTAGTTATTACATTACTGGAGTTGAATTTCCGTGCATGGTTTTTAAAGTATCAGTATAGCTTTTTGATGGGATACTTGCCTGTGGCTTTTCCATTGTTCCTGTTTATTGCTTGTTGGTGCTAGTTTTGTTCTTACTAATGTTTGTATTACTTCAGAAAATTTGTTAATAAAATACAGCTAACCTATACACTCGTGTACTATAAGTCACTGTTTGAAGAAGCCATCCGGTTAGCGGTCTGCATGGCTTCTTCTCCCCCTTTTCGGTTTGCTGCTCATCTTCTTCAAGGTGCCAGACCTTGAGCAGATGAATATAAATTCTGAGTCTCAAGATCACAGATGAGTTGGCTGAAGAAGAGAAAAACAAGGGCAAAGATCTATAAGATTTTATCCAGAACCAGAATACTTGAAAACAAGAGAAATCGTCGGTGGGAGTCATGTGTATTCCTGGACCGGAGGGAGCCCCAGATCTCTAGCCGTCTGGTGCAGACAGCCCTCCCTGGTGTCCACATCCCCATGTCAGGAGCGAGATCTCAGGACTCAGCACTGTCCTTGTGAGGCTCTGCTCCTCTCGTCCCCCGCACACAACCTTCTTTGCTGTCTGCCTTGAGGCGAGGAGGAGTAGTGCTTGCATCTTGCCCTTCCCTCTTTCTGCAGTCGGCGTAAGGAGCCCAGAATATCCAAGACCCTGGCATCTCAGATGGGCCTCGAATCTCTCTGTGTCGCATTTCTGACCTGATTTCCCACTGTCGTGAGCTCCTGAAACTCTGCTTATACCATGTGGGACCACGCGGGCCTCAGAGCTGCTGGCTCACGGCAGCAGAGGCACCCAGACCCTCAGTCTTCTCCCTCTTGCTGGAAGAAACTTGGCTCTCCCAGCACACACGGCTTCTCAGTCCCTCCAGATGGTAGCTCTGTTCTCGCCCACATCCTCCACTCCACTCCTCCAGGAGCTTAGGCAGGCCTCCTCTCATTCTCTTCTGCTGCTTTCACACACTTTGAGTCTCATGTCATTAGATCGTGACCCGATTACTTCTCCCTTTTCCCTTCAGCCCTCTCCATCCGGACAGTTCCTCTTCTGTCCTTAAGGTTTTAGTTCTTGTTCGTGATCATTCTTTCTGCCACTCTTCCTGTCACAACTGGTGATTTCAGCGCCTGCGTGGATGACCTTTCCAGGCTGCTTGGCCATCCACAGACCTCTCCCTTAATGGTCTTCCTCGGCCGCTTGCTGCCTGGGGCCACAGCGCAGGCCCGTCACTAGCGCTGACAAGTTCTCGTGCCGTCTCAGCCGTCAGTCACCCTGCTTTCCGGCTCGCTGCCTGAGGTGTGCCATGCCCTATGGTTCTTCATGCCATCTGTCCGTCTTGATAGTTTTTTACTGCCTTTTCTCCCTCGCTTCCTTCAGACCCTTGATGCCTCACACGGTTTAAATTCCTGGGCTGTCGTTTGACTCAGTGCTCTACTCTCTCAGTTCCCTTCCCTCTCTGCTTCGCTGAACTCTAGCCGTGGTCATAGCCAGCTCTTGGTGTTCTCAGCACGCACACCTATTCAGCTGCCTGCCTGGCCTTTCCTAAATGTATGATGGTGTGTTAGACGTACTTTACATTCCCCTGGAGTTATTTTATATCTTCTTTTTCCTCAAGACTTCTTCATCATCAGTCTCAGCCGATGGCCTTGCTTCCTCGTTTCTTGAGAAAAATAGAAGCAAGCATGCTGAGATGTTCACAGGCTTTTTCCTTCATATTGATTCGCCTACCTGCTGCTCCCCCCACACATGCCGCCTTTCTATGATGGTGTGACTGGACTGTCCATGCTTCTGGTGAAGTTCAGCTCCTCCCCCCCGTGCACTGGGTTCAGTCCCTTCTCCCTGATTCAAGGACACACTGATGGCTGTTCTACTATCTCTCTGATGTAACCAACCTTTCTCCAATTGGATCATTTCCTTCAGCATAGAATATGCTATAATTTTTCTCAGTAGAATGAACAAATGGAAGGAAGGAAGGGAGGAAGGAAGGAAGGGAAGAAGGAAGGAAAAGAAAGGAAAGAAGGAAATGAAATCAGTCTGTCTTGACTTCCTAGCCCTCTGGCTTATCATCTCATTGCTTTGCTTGTCTTGATAGCAGAACTCTGGGGCCTGCACCCTCCGCAGTTCCATTGCCATGCTCCACATTGGGTTTTGGTGCCGCTCTCGCCTCCACTGCTGTACTGACGGTGCTGTTGTCAAGTTGGCTAGTGACCTCGGCGTCCTCAACCACCCTCTTCATTCCACTTGGTTTTTCAGGTCACTACACTTTCCTTGTTCTTTTACTTAAGAAGCTACTGCTTCTCAAAAAACTGCTGGTTTTTCTCTCTGTCCGTAGCTGCTTCTCACCGGAACACCTCATACCTCAGTCCTTAAACTCTTCT